GAATACAAGGTGTTCTCTCATTGGACGAGGTGGAGAGGAGGATCGGGTCACAATCTTCACCTTGTCCAATCAGAAAATGTCTGGTATTCAATTAATTAATGGCTGCATGGAAATACTTGCAGCTGCTGACTTTTCATTTTCCCCTAGCTGGGGGAAGCCCTTTTTAAGTATAAACCCCTTTGTTTATGTTGGAATTGTGTTGAACATCAGCTGTACTTTCAGGGCAGACACCAACACAGGCACAATGATAAAGCTTTGTATGACAACGCATATCAGTGCCACTGCACAGCCACTGTATGACAGCCCCTGACTGCTGTAATACAGCTGGACTCTAGAGCAGCGTCGCTATATAAGACAAAGTACTGTCATTCCTCCCTGCAAGAGGAACTGAGACAGTCCATACATGTGCTGAGTTATCACTGAATAGATTACTACTAACTCTTGCAAAACACTTTCACAGACCAGCACAACTACCTTTAAATGGCACACAAGTGTAGCTCCCAACTGTCTGTCAATTGACCCAAATCTCTCTGTCCCCCTGTCCTTTTCAGTTGTCCCTCTTTTTGATCTGTAGTACAGATATCTATGAAAATGTTAATGAGGTCTGCTTGTCCAAAGCAGGGCTAAATGTAGAAAACAACTACCCACCCGGCGCCCGGAACTGCATGTCCCGAGCATTGGGAGATAGGAATTCCACACCCCTGCTGCCCCTCTACTCCCTGCTGCCCTAATGGCGGGCCTTGGTTGGCCTTGTGGGAAATCCGGCACTGTACACTAGTAGAACTTTGTTTTGTTTTTTAAACATTTTCGAAAAGTTAATGGGGTTTTATTAACGATCGACAGCGGTGAGGAATTAAAAAAAAAAAACGAGGAGCAGGATGGAAAATGTTTCTCGTGTTTCCTTTCCTTTTCTTTCTCTTTTTTTTTTTCTTTCTTCCCTGTTCTTGTCCTCATTCTTGTGTCTCTTGTTCCACTCTTTTTCCTCTTTCCCTTTTTTACCAGGGGACAATTTGAGACGCTTTTGGCCCTTACTCATGGGGTTACTCATGGGCTCTGTATGCGTGTTTTTTTAATTGTAAATGGTTACAGTGCAGTCTGTGCTCACACTAGCTTCACCCTACTGGATGGACATTGTGTTTAGACTTTGCGTACTTTTTGTCCCTCCTGTTAAAGTTGCATATTTGTTTTATTATGAGTCTGTATTGTATTTTTTAAGGACCTACTAAATTAAAAATATGGAAATGGAAAATGTCTGGCATGAACAAAATTCTACCAGTGAATGTGGTTTTTGTACGAGAGACTCCATTTACTTCCATAATGGAATGATATAATCAAACAACATTTCGAACCACATTTGTCAAATCTTTCATGCCATTATCAAATGTTCTGACCATATGTACAATCTACCCGTGTATGGCCAGTTTGATTGTGCATTAAAACTTTTATCCTATCTTATAATTATCTTGTTTGCTATTTGAAACACATATTGCTTTTATAAAGGAAAAGTAATGGTGAGAAAAAATACATTTCTGGTTTCAACCAATCAATTTTGGCATATAAATTCCTAATAGTCCGCACAGTGGAGGTGTGGTTGGGATAGATATATTGAAGGGAACTGGAGAAGACAAAATCTGGAGCAGTTGCCAATGGCAACCAATCAGCTTCTACCTTTCATTCTCTAAGCTTAACTGAACAAACCAAAGAAAGAATCAGACTGGTTACCATGGGCTAATGCTCCAGATTTTGTATGCTCCAGTTTCGATAAATTCCCCCCTGTTGTGCTGCCGGGTGCCCCTCTTCCTCATCTCAGAAATATGGGAGGTGTGCACAAGTATTTACATTTTGCATTTTCACAGTTTCACAAGTTTTCTACATTTTACTGACACTCGTACTGAAGTAAAAACCAGCTGCTCAGTACAATTCCGGGGACATAAACTTCAATATGAACATTTAAACTGGAGTTCTGTAGGAAATATACATTTTTGCCAAATGTTTCTTAACCTACTACTATGTATCCAGATTATCTTCCCAATGTTTCTTTCTCTCCCATGTTGTTTTTGCCAAAGAAGAGGTCCTATTCACATGTGCCAGAGTTCCAGGAAGTAAAGGTAGATGGATTCATCTTCCCTTAGTAGAAATGGCCACTATAAGGAGAATGAGGAAGAAAAGATAAATAATGTTGGCAATTATTTGCAAGTATGTGTTTGTAGATTGTCATTACTAAACATTTCTAAAAGTGTCTTTGTTGTCATTTTAAAGATAAGATACGTTCCTCCTTAAAGGAGAACTATGGGGTTAGGGCTTTTCCCCATAGTTCTCCTAAGGGTAACGGGGGGACACATACTAGTGTCCTCCTGTCACCCTAAGCTCAGTATAACGCGGTATAATGAGACGCCACAGCTGAAACGGATCCCGACAATTATGTCTGGATCCGCCCAGCTGCATGAGTGACAGCTGGCTCTGCCCATCTAGAGGCAGAGCCAGCTGTACCCTCCCCCGTCCTTTCCGCCAGTCAGCGCTGGAGGATCGGAGCGGGGAGGGGGGAATCCAGTCCCTCCCCTGTCACTGCTCTCTGCGGTGACAGGATCGAGAAGTGAGCGAACGCCGGTATGTGTTCGCTCACTTCCCGATCTACTGAGCTGACCTGTGACAGTTTAATTGTCACAGGCCGGCTAGAACTATGAGGATGAGTGAAAATCACTCACCTCATAGTTCTCCTTTAATGTTTTCCCCCATGTGCGGTAGTGTACTGCAGTGCTTCAGAATGTGCTGCTTTGTGCAGAAATATTCTACTTCCTGTCCTACTTTTTTCAGCTCAGTGCAATGGTATGAACCAAATCTGTAGGGCAGCGGTAGGGAACCTTGGCACTCCATCAAGCCCCATGAGGCATTGCAAGCCTCTGACAGCAACAGACATGACTGCCAGAGACGGAGGCATCATAGGATGTGTAGTTTCACCACATCTGATAATCGCAAGGTGTATGGGCACTTTAAGACCCCGAAGAGCCCTCATGAGACCCCGCACAGTCCACCTGAGACCCTGCATAGCCCTCCTGAGACCCCACACAGCCCCCCGAGACTGTGCACAGCCCCCCTGAGACCCTGAAGACATCAGGCCTCTACCCCGGAGCAACACAGAGTATATACCATATTATTCTGCATTGCCGTATAATGTGTTGCTGGGATTTGCAGTCCTCTATAGCTGATAGTATTCTGCATTGCTGTATTGCTGAAATTTGTAGTCCCTCTACAACTTTGAGTCAGTGGCAGAACTCCAAAGGTTGCAGCGGTCACAGCTAGGACTGAGCCCGGGCACTCCATCACTGTCCTTATTCTGACTCCGATTGTTGTGATAGCGATTTATCCCTTGTGAGACCTCTATGCCTGGCCTGTATAAGCAGATTCAATCACTGTGGACATTCATTGTCAGATAGCTGAACTCACCAATACCGTTTCATCCACAAAGGTTGCTTTATTCTGCACATCAAACAACAGGATACAGCAGATGGATGGTTTTCAGTATTATGCGGTCAAAAGATGATGCCTTTCCTAGGGTACTATGCAGAGTACATGTGTCCTGATTACATGTGGCTGTTAGCTGTGGCCATGACACAGGAAATACTGACCAACAAGAAGAAGGGTGGGGCTTACATACAGAGGAACTGTGTCATCGATCTCAGGGATATCAGGGAAGGTAACATAGAAAAATATATACATTACCACAAAAGGCCACTAGATGGCAGCATAGGAACTAACACATAAAACGTCCATAGAAAATGGTATAGAGAAAACAATCTATAAAAAACTTCTATCTAAATAAACTTCTATGCCCCATTGGGGCGGCACAGTCCTATAATTATTAGTCTGTATTGTTTTAGAAAAACTGTCATGAGACACACAAAAAAAGAGGTATCGATACCTTGAGGAAAAGTATCGGTACTCGTACTCGTTCTGTAAAAAATGGTATTTGTGCATCCTTAAAGTGACATTAAAGGATACATTTCTTTCCCCTCCCCCCAATATTAATGTTAGCACTTACCTTAAATTATGTCTCTTAATCCGATCTTCTTCTTTCCTGGCGTTTTCAGCCTTCTCTCCAGCGCTGCTGCGGGTCTCCGATCCAACGATGACTCCTCTGTCCTTGCTAGCACGTCCTGTCCCCCGGTGTCTGCATGCGGGTGCACGCCGTCCATATACTTACCTTGTGTCTCTCCTCGTCTCCCGGCCGAAAATCCAAACTGCGCATGAGCCTGCCCCAAGATCCTTTGCGGCTGCCCGAGATTTTTCAGATTTTCGGACGGGAGCATGCGGGGAAGACACCAACTTTTTGCATATCTCTACTGCTTGCTAGCAGTAGAGATATGCAAAAAAAAAAAACGGAGGCTTTAATTATACTTTAATATGATATGTGTACAGCTGGCAAAAACAGGTAAAAGAAAAGCAAATTGTTTACAAGCACCCAGGCAGTGTTTTGGTGTTCCTCCACCCCTTTCACTGGATAGCTTGCTTGGTATACCTGTACGCACTGGCGGAACTACCAGGGTCGCAGCGGTCGCAATTGCGACCGGGCCCTGGCATAAATGAACAGAAATAACTAAAAACAATAATTATAAGCTGAATACTATCATTACATTTATTGTCGGCGTACAATTGTGTTTTATGACAGTAGACAACGCTCCAACACAGCGAGTCCAGCACGGCGCCCTCACGGGCTGAGGTTGCACATGCGCACTTGTGTGAGTCCTGGGAGGCAGCGGGCGTGCTCGTCATCTGGGGATACCAAGTTACTAGTTGTGTTACACCTGGGAAGAGGGCGGTGAGCCCGGACATCGGCAGTACTGAGGGCTGGATGGCACGTCTGGGGGGGAAGAAATAATACATACAGTCAACAGGTGGGGGAAGAGCAGCCTCTAGAGGCAGACACCCGGACAGTGAGCTAACACTGTGCCCGGAGCGCAGAGCCTGGGAGGAGGAATCCCAGCCGGAGATAACACTGACACCCCACCATTCACTGCTCAGCACGGGGGAGCCCCAGGTTAGTGACACTTACAGGGGGACGGGGATGTTGCTGATGGCTTGGTCGTGCCTGTCACCTTGTGGGCTCCTGTAGACAGGCTTATATCTACTTTCAAAGAGGGGAGCAGTGTGCACAGTAGCAGGTACTGTCACATGATCCCCCCATGTGTACCCCTCCATGGTCTGTGTGATGGTGTCCCCCGTCTTTTCTCCGGTTCTCTCTCTCCTCCCATCTGTGTAGTTGTCTCTCCCTCCTTTCCCTGTCACTCTCTCCCCTCCCTCTCTCCCTCTCCTGTGTGTCTGGAGCAGGCTGGCTGTGCGGATCTTCCTCTGAGAGAGAGAGATGAGGGGGGCT